CTACAAGGTCCCTTCCGACCCGACTTCTATGATTCTATGCTGTTCTGTGGAAGGGATATCATTCTTCATTAAATTCTGTGGGCTTTTTAAAAAGATTCTGTTCCTTGATATTGTATCGTCTATTAGAGCTCTAAAATACCAGGTGATGCTGTCTGCACTCTTGTTTCTCCATATTTTCTATGCTTTTTTTAAACAGGTTTAGCTTTTGAATAATGAATAATTCACATGAGAATGGATGTCCAGGATGACTTCAGTCAATTTTCTCATCTTGAAGTTCAGCAATCAGTAGTGTTATTATGAAGTAATTTTGTTGGTATGACTCAGAAAATCATACTTATTGTCAAAAACAAAAAACCCAATACTGTGAGTTTATTTCTGGTGTGTTATTGGATATCCAACTAATAAAGCAGCAGACACTTCAAATATTGCCATCATATTTATTTAGGCTTCTGTTTTGAATGGGGACAGAAATTTTAGCAACAGATTCGTATATAGATATTTTCAGACCCAGCTTTGTTATCCAGGATTTTGGAAAAACATGTCACTCTCTAAAGGAGAATCTTATATCCCAGCTGAATACAAATTATTTTATGCCTGTCAGGGTTTCTTGGTAGATGTATTGGACCTTGTTGAAAATTAACTGAAGCAAAATGTATAGGATTTGACTGAATCAGACCCTTTAGTAGGAAGTATGCATCTGCTTATACCTATTAAGCTGAAGCAACAACAGGACATGCATCATGAAATGTGTGGCCTGTATCAGATGCTCTGTAAAAACTGGCTTCAGCAGTACTCAAAGAAAAGAGGGTCTGGCCACTAGATTTGTGATGCTTTGTTTTTTTCTTTCTAGTACAACTAAAAGCAGACTGTAATAAAGGCTATGTCTGGATCAAACAGGTATGCTGTCCCATGGAAGTGGGGTGTTGTTATTGGGTGTCGTCATTGTGTTTACACTTTACAAATCGCAGCTGGTGATGTAGCCCTGTCACAGACCTTGTGATCTACTCTGTCTGTGCATAATGTGTTCTAGTTGGTAGGCTTATGCTGTACCACTCCTTTTGTGTCCTATAGAGGTAGGGATCTTTTATTCTGTTCCCTGCACTGGATAATATCCTTTAAATGAGTCAGGTCTACTTAAGACTGTTGCTGCTCCTTGCTTCTGCTACTTGCAGCTTTAGACTGGGAGAGCAGATCTTTACTAGCTAAGCAATATCTTAACGAACACATACGTTTGAATGTGGACAGAGCTTAACACTTTTACAACATCTTAACAAGTGAAGGGCAGTGGGAGGCCTCTCCCTCCCCGGTTAGCTGACACCCTGTTTTCTTTGAAAAAACAACACCCTATTTTCTTTGTATAGACAGACCTTCTCTTGTATGTCCACACATCAATCAAAGGCACTAGGCTTAAATCCACTAGCAGAGGAAATACTACGTCATTTCTTCTTTGCATTCTAAGGACAGTGACATTCTGGGGATGATAGGTTCTGATGAATTTAGAGTACTAAACTATTTAAGTCAATTCCAGCACTCTGTTTGCTTTCTTCTCCAAAGATAGGTGTGAATCCAGCCAGCATTGATTTAGTGAATATTGGCAAAGATGAAGAAGTGAAAATGAAGCCAGGGCAGGTTCTGCATATTGTGAATAAACTTTACCCCTGTACTATACAATTCTTGGAAGAAGCAGGAGATCCTGGAACAGTGTCACAGGGGAGGTTAAAAGCTGAGAAGAGGTCATCTGAAGACTCTAGGAATGGTAACACAGAAAATGGGTCTGCCAAAAGTATGAAAATGGCGGCATCGGATTTGGAAGATACTAACAAGTCGGGCAGTGTTGGAAGTTCTGTTACGTCTCCATCAGCAAGCTCTCTAAGCAAAAAAGTGAGTAGTAAAATAATTGGTGTGAACCCTTTCCCCACTGGCAGGACTGCTGGAACTGCTCTGGTGATAGTATACCTGCTGGTGGGTATCAGCCCCTCCAGGGTAGACAGCCTCTCTGTATTCAGGGTCAGGTTATCTGACTTCAAAGCAAATGTAAGTTCTACATCTGTGATGCCTGTTAACACCAAAGCTACTACAGCAGCTTTGAGGAAACAATCCGAATTGTCTTCTGATATGCAAACTGTCCATAGAATTGCAGTCTGAATTGTTTGGGCACCCTCTGGTTTCAGGCTTGTCTCTGCTGCACCTCAAGCTAGTCACTTATAGGTCAGGTTTGTAATGGTATTTCGCTGCTCAACATCCATTCAAATTAGTGGGAGATGGGTGCCTAAACTTTGTGTAAAAATCTAGTACTTTTGCCTTTTTGGTTCTAGCTCTTGGAGACAGTGTGGATATGGCTCATACCCCTCACACAGGTGTACAGATACTACATTCTGGCAAAATTTAAGCCCTGGATGTCTCAGATTAGATACCTAATAACTGAGGGACACAAAATTGGTAGCAGCAGCTCCTAATATTGGCTTAATCATCCTGTGTGTTAGCTCCTATTGGTACAACCCAAAGGTGCATGTATTAATGCTTGCTAGTTTCAGACACCATGGTGGAGTTAGCACTGTTAGAAAAGTCCATGAGGCAGTTCATATTATTGTGTTTGGATGATACCAGTACATAAGGCCTAAGGCCCCAAACAGAAGATTGAAGATAAAAAGTACTAACAACTGCCTTCCTCCATGAACATTGTCTGTTCTGTGCACTGGATGAGATGTGGTATCTTGTAGAAAAACAGTCCATGGTCATGTAATTCCAACTGTCATTGTGTACATTGGGGTTGTTCAGCTGACTACGTGCAGCCTGTGAGGGATTAACATGTGGCCCCAGACTATCATCTAGCCACCACTCCCCCCTATTGCTCCGGCTATAGCAGCAGCCAGAGTGTTGGGGCTGTCTCTCCCTCCTCTAATTTCTTTTACATGCCCCTGCCCCAGCAGGTGGGACAGGATGGCATAGCACAGCTTGTAGTCCAGGGGGATACAGCAGCCTAGAGAGCCTGTGCAGCATGGTGCTATGGGGGAGCCCATGAGGAGCTGAAGGTGAGGTAGGGTGCTGCATGCATAATGCAAGGATCGGGTTATGTGCCCACATACCTGCCCACATGCTGCAATGCAAGATGCATATGGGGCATGCAGCCGGGGGGGAGGGGGGCCACAGTTCCTCTTGGTGTGGCCCATGGGGCATGCATACCCTGACCACTTAAGTTGGACATCCCTGATGTACATGTACAGAGGTGTTCAATCAAGGTTGAATTGGACACTCCAATTCTAGGATTTCCCAGCTTGACATACTAACTGCATTTTAATTTTTTTAATATTACAAATATATTTTGTAGGGTTTTTTGAGACAGGACTGTGATAAATGTAAAGTGTATCAGAAAAATAATACCGGAGTTCTAATAGCAAATGTTGAACTGAATGCTTAAATGTTAAATCTCTTAACTTCCTTCTGAACATTCCTTTTCTATTTGTTTTAGGAGTATATAGGACATTGGAGTCAAGGCCTGAAGGTATCAATGCAAGATCTAAAACAGCAGGTAGGAACCTCACAACCTGTCCTAGAAATAAATCTAACCAGTCCAGATTTAAGTGTGCTTTCCATTCAGAATGCTGTTAAGCAGATAGCAGGTTCTAATTGGCTCGTGCATATGTATACAACAATCTGCTGTATATATTTGTACTTAATGGATGGAAGATTTATTAGTCGTCTTCCATGAGACCTCATGCCAACCTCCAGAACCTTGCAGAGTCATTGCTGTGATTCTTCTCACTTGTTTCTCTTGACATCTGGGGTTGAGAAGAGGAAAAATTGAGCACTGGTGGATTCAGTGACCCAATCTAAAAAGAAAAAAAAGGTGATGGAAGGAATCCCACCCTAAACTTTAGACCTTCTTCTCTTCCTGTTACTTGTTTTCATTGTAGTTGAGTGTATTGCCGGGTATTGCTGTGTTAATATTGGGTCTAAATAGGCCCAGAGAGTCCAAGTTGTTAAAAGGAATGAGTGAGCTGACCAGCAAACAGGGGGTTTGAGTGGGAATCTGCAGGGGAGAGTTTGCCCCATTTGCTTTTTAACCTTTGTTTACTGTAAGCTTGCCAAGCACAAATAGGCAAAGGAAGAGGAAGGAACATTCTAGGAAGTACCAGCAACAGAAGATTAAGAAATAGGTAGCAAAAGGATTAATGAGATGGCTAGACAATGTCACAGTGCTAAAATCACTGCCACCTTTGCCAGTACACTTGTGGGCTCTGTCTGAGGGGGAGGGGGAGGACAGGCATTGACCTCCAATGCTTCTGCTAAGTTCCTGTTCTGGTTTTGTGGGGACTGTGGCCTGCATGTCCTTACTGGAGAGAGCCGGGTTGGGGAGTGCTTGTAGAGGATTCCATTATGAGATGAGCAAGGAGACTGAAGGAGGAGGTATCTAGGCTCAGAAGCATCTGTGAGCATGGGGACTTACTGGCTTGATGCACAAAGAGACATCCAGCATCATGGAAGAGACAACCAGAAGGGGAATTTAAGGAAAGAAACCTAGTATGAAGTAGGAGATGGGCCCACTGAAAGTCTCTGAAAGAAGGTCAGAGGAAAATATCAAGGGTGATATCTTGGTTGGTTTTTGCTGTAGACCACCAAACCAGGAAGAAGAGGTGGATGAAGCTTTTTTAAGTGACTAGGGGTGGGAAAGCAGAGTGGACTGTCTGACTTACAAGCCTGCTAAACTGTCCAGTCAGGTCCCATGCCCAGGACCCCTGCCACTGTTGGTGCTGGACTCTCCAGCCCCACTCCCCTAAGCGTCTTCCACCACCAATTCTCTTCCTTTGTAGTGGCTAACCCATTCCTCTTCCCTTAGCTCCTGTGATTTTTAACAAAATATTCTTAATAAGGGAAAGTTTGGGTTTTCCTAGTAAAAAGCTAGATGCCAGTCTTCAGTCTCACTGGACTCTTAGACACAGAATGCACTTTATTGGTTTATAAAACATCACTAATCCTGAAAATCCTGACTGGTGTTTTCCAGAAGAAGCACCTTAGTAATATTTGTTCATCATCAGTTTAATCACCACCTTCACTTCCCTGTCAAAATCAATTTTCTTATGGCAATCTTTCTACTTTGGAGCTGGGCCACCAGTCAAATAGCTCATTCTCTGAAATCTTCATTTTGGCAGAAGAAGGTCCAAAATATATGAGCCCATTCTTCAGCAAGATTTGCTCACATCCCAACCACTTGTAAACCAGTGGATGAATAGATGGGACTTAGATGAGATCCTGAATTTCAATAATTTTTGGAGGGCCAGCCAGAGAGAGGAGAGGTTCAAATGAAAGATGTTCTTCATGGAAGGTCATTATACGACTTGGGGCATGTGCAGATGAAACAGGGGCCCTACATTGAAGCAGTGGGTTTTAAAAAACACTGCTTCAATTTAGGGCTGATAAAACCCGTTTCATGCACACACACCCTTCTGACTTACCTGCCTCTCTGGCAGGGGAAGGGGAGGGCAAGCTGCTGGTGGGCAGAGCGGTCCCTGGGCTGCAGGGGGGTTGGTGCTTCCCTCCGCAACAGCAGCGGCCCACCCCGCAGCACCTGCCTGCAGGCACCCAGCTCTGGTGGTCCTGGGGGGCACTGCAGATATGGAGGGAAGCACCCCTCCCCCCCCCCCAGCACTGCTCAGGCAGCCAAGAAGGTTCTGGAGGGGGGTGGGGGGAATCAGGCTTCCTGCTTTTCTTGGGCGGAGCCTGCTTTCCTGGGCTGCTGTCAGGCTGCCTGCAGAGGCCCTGAGCTGCACTGAGCTCGGTGCTTCACTCCACAGCTGTAGGGGCAGCAAACTAAAACTCCTCAAAGGAGTTACTTTGCTACACCCCAAGTTATTTAAGGTGCATTACGCCACCAAATTTCCTACAGTGGCTGGAATTAATGCTCAATACACCACTGATGCGCAGAAACACCAATACCGTTAAAACAGTGCAAAAGCATTTAGCCCTTTAAAGTGTCGTGCACACACACCTTTCGTTTCATCTACAGCCTTGGGTTCTTGCTTCTCTTGGGACTTCTTCAGCAGTAACACTTGTAGTTTCCCTTCTTTTTTTATTTCACCAGAGAAAGACTGGATTGTTAAAATATGGAGGTGGATGCAAGACGGGGAAAAAGGATTTGTCTCTGAGTTTCCATATTGTTATGAAATAAAACACAGAAGAATGCTGCTAAGATGTAGTGGTTTTAATTTGGGCTCATTCTTCTGGTGCTCTTGATGTTATGCGAGTTACCCTTTGCTTTTCTGTTGCCAGGCAAAACAGGTAGGCAGGAGGGGTTTGCTATACAGACCTGACTAGATACTGTGGTTACAGTAGTCTACTGAATTAAAACATATAGGGAATTGTAGCAAAATAGTACCAGTATTCTCCCTGGAACACTTAAACTCACAAAAAACCTCTCTCCTCATGGGTAAAAAATGTCTTAGAGTATTAAGCAGGTGGTTTGGTGTATAGGCTTTCTTTCTTTAATTTGAGGTTTTTGCACTGAAAAGTGGGATATCTTGGAAACAAAGAATAAGGGATTGATAGAACACTTCACTACTTCACTACTAACACATCATTAAGCAACTAATTGTGGGTTGGGGCTCTATATCAAGCTAATAGTTTTACAAAATAAGTAAACAAGCAATAAGATTATGTAACCTTTTTAACAACTTTTTCCTCCTTTACCTGTGTATTTAAGCACTTAAGGCTTAAAAATTGAGTAAAGATTTCAGTTTAATGATTTCTTTAATTCCTTTTCTCTCTAGTTGAATGGTGCACATACAAGGGGAAAATCCTTGCTTAATAACTTTTGGAAGTTTTAACTGTTCTTGCTGCCAAAAGGGAGAGTCAGTTTTTTTTTTAACTTGAGTTGTTGAAATTCCGTTTTAAGACGCAACCAGATTTACAATAAAAACACAGTAGCATCATAAGAGAAATAGCGAAATTAGAAAAAGCATCTATAGCTGATGGTCAAGCTGCTTAGGGCATAGCATCTAATCTTATTAACCATTTCAAAACTTGGTAAACTTTTACCAGGTTCAGACTGGCTGGCCCCTCTGCTCAACAGTGTTGTGATAGATGATTGGATTTTTCTTGGCAAGGCAAGCCGTATTGTTCTTGGGAAGAAGGTACTAATAGGAGAGTAAAGGTATGGAAGAAAAATGATGGAATAGGGATGGGGTGACAACAGGACCCTCAGCTGCTTTACAAGGCCATTAGCTGCTTCTCTTTTCTGGTGTGGTTGAGGCAGTGTTGTCTTGTGCTTTTTGTGTGCACGCTCAGGAATTGTCATCTATGAGGATAAATGAAGTTCCTTGCCTTTGGCTCTTCATTCCACAGAGTTGGCTAGTCAGACCAGTAGCTACCAGGAAGCAAGTGGCCAAGATCTCCCCATAGGTCACTCCACACACACGGACATGCCGATAAAGGTTAAAAGAAATGGGAACTGCCTCCCCTTAAAACTGCCCAATTTAAAGCAGTTATAAAATTGAAGTCACAGTTAATTGAAGTCCTTTCATTTCTAATCTTCTTTGCTTATTACCATGTCAACCTGTGATGTCAGTGGGAACCTTGAGCACAAGAGTTCTTTTGTAGATTGAACATGGAAAATTTTGTAGATTGTTTGAGGATTTTCCATGTACAATTGCAACCCGTACTAGGAGAAGACCCAGTTTTTAAAGAGATTTTTCCAGAACCACTCATCCTAGCCATTAAACAAGCATCGAACCTCACAAACTTCATATGACGCAAACCACACCTAAGGGATCCAGACCATGGCAGAGCAAGAAATGCAAAACCTGCCAACATATCTCCACTACTCCCTCAGTAACCACACCCCACAACAGAACTATCACCATTCCTGGACCTGACACCTGCACCATCAGCAACGTTATACATCTAATCTAGTGCACCAAATGGCCTGATAGAAAATATGTAGGAGAAACCAAACAACTGTGCATCAGAATGAACACACACCGAAAATCTATTAGACAAGAATACCCAGCTGCCTGTGGGGGCACGCTTCTCCCAAGACAGTCACTCCCTCTGATCTCTCAGTTCTAATCCTCAAAAGGAATTCACAAAATGCCTTTCGTAGATGAGCCTACGAACTTCACTTCATAAATCTACTGGATACAAAAATCATGGACTCAATATAGACATTGGATTTATGACACATTACAACCTGCCTGCCATCTGATTCACCAGATACCTGCCAGAGCTGACCTCCTAGACTTGTCTTCCCCTCCCCCCTCCTTTTCTGCCCTTTGTCTTCCTAATTTCCAGCTATTTACTTTTTCAGTCAGCCTCTTTTCTACCTTGAATTACTACTACTGTAATTCAAGGCTCTTACTCACCTTTGTTTTTGTTTTTTCCCCCCTGCTTTTCCACACCCCCTCCACTTCCCTGCTCTACCTTTTGTTGTCCTAATTTCTACCTATTTACATTCTCACTGACATCCTGTAACACTTTTCGCTGCTTTCATGCTTTGGAGTCTCAGAACAGCAGAGACTTCCTATGCCTGAAGAGGGGTGATTGTTCCTGAAAGCTTGCAAAGAACTTTTTTCCAACTACTCAGGTGGTCTAATAAAAGATATCACATCTACCCAAAGAACCTTGCCTGCCTTTGTAGATTGAATGCACTTTGTTCACTTAGACTATTGAGTCCTACAGTCTTACCAATTTTATGTAACATGCTAAGCTGTCTCTTATCCTTTAATTGACTCTAAACAGTTTAAAATATAGAGCCCTGTGAAACAACATGTGTTGTTGCAACTACTTCATGTTTGCTTATTGGCAGATAGAAATCTGTTCTCTCATCCTCTGGTGGAAAGTTTTGTGAGACATGTCCTTTGCCTTTAGAAAGTGGCCTACTTGATGAGCAATCTTAGTTTTGCAACAGTAACTTGTAGATTTCTATAATCTAGGGATAGATTTCCTATGTCCCTTTCTTGCAAATGGCTTTCTTGGAAAAAGCAGTAGTCCCTCAAAGCCTCAGTGCTCTCTTACCTGAGTAAGGTGAGTTTGACCATCTGCACTAGTGGGGCACTTAGCACCTAAGCGGCCCGGTCCAGGAATTCTCCATAAACTGGATAGGCTGGATTTTTTTAGTGTAGAAACACAGCATTTTGGCAAGTTGTCTTAGTCATGTTGCAAAAAGTCTGAAATGAGATATATATTCATCTGAAGATATTACAAGTTGGTAGTAAAATATATTAAGATGGGCTGTCAAGAGACTTGCACAGACCAACAAAAAGTATCCATGTGCTTTCCAGCACTTTCCTGTAGGTAAATACTGATCACTTGCCAGTGAATTGATATGGCTCTTTGGAAGCATGCTTGCATGCTGAACAAGAACTGGAGATCTTTGATTACTATAGCTACCTAGAAGCTCTTTCTCCATCCCTGCTGAATTTCAGAACCAGAGCCATCCCATCCTTACCTTGTTTCATAGGTACAGTCTGGATATCTCTTTGTGTATATATGATCATATTCTAGTCCTGTCAAGGCTAACTGCTTTTTGAGGTTCTGTATCTGCTTCACATTGGCATGTCACCTGTAAGCATAGGTCAGTGAACCCAATGTACTTGGCCAGCAGTACCTGTATGGTGTATGTGTTCCCTGTGACGTGTTGTTCATCTAAGCATCAGCATGCTTCCATTCCTTTCAAGCACCTCTCAGTTTGAGACTGAGCTTCTTTCCATCTTCATTTAGATGGCAGGAAGACTTTATTCTACATGGTATATGTAACTAGGCAGTGCAGCTGGCCATTGACAGTGGTCAGCAGGGTAATCTTTTTAACCTAAGGAAGGAAAAAATAATCTGTTAGGCCTGGGCGCTGTAGTGTGAAAAACAGTAACAAAGAATTATATAAAAAGCAAAAGGAAAAAACCCCACTTAATGAGGTATCAACGTCATTGGTATCAATAATCAGTAACAGCTTTTCATTCATAATCTAAGTCAGTCTTAGTGCTTGCAGCATAGCATCCATCAGTAGAAGGTCAGGGAGTGTTTTCTGTCCTGCTGTGCTAAAGTTTCCCCAAGGTACTAAACAAGGTAGACCCTTCTGTGAGACATCCAATTCCAGTCTTGGCCTGTGAATCTCAGACTGTGAAAGGATACCCTCACAGTAGCCAGTGTAAACTTGCCTGTGGCCCACTAGACCTTGTTCCACCAGCATCTTTGAGGAATGTATCCATCTTGGATGTCTGTAAGGTGGCCACCTGTAGCTTTGCTCACACATTCACAAGGCCTCATCCAGTTTTTGAAGTTTTTGAATTTGGTGCTGCAGTTGATGAGGTTACCATCCAATTGGTGTATGATTCTGTAATCATGATTTGGTGTCCTCCCTAGCAGAACATGTATGCTGATTCACTTGAAGGAGAAAACTTGCTTACCTTGCAGTAGTTGGAATTCTTAGAGATCTATATGTGCTTGCCACAATCCGTGCTCCTATCGTCACCTACTTTTCCTCGAGTCCTGTATGCCTAGTATTCTGTGGTTGCATAGGCATGCTCAACAGTGAGCCACTGGGAGCATGTACACAATGTAGATACTGCTGGCGAATAAACTTGCAAGCTTAGGCATGTGAGCCAAAACTTGGAATGGGCTTCCAAGGAAGGTGGTGCTCACCTCTTCCTTGGGGGTCTTTAAGAGAAGGCTGGGTAGGCATCTTTCCTGCCTAGGCAGGGGGTCAGACTCGATGATCTGTTGAGGTCCCTCCTTCCAACCCTCGCATCTACAGATCTATGAATCTGTGAGTCTCATGCACCCAGAGTGGACTCTTCTGGAACTATAGTTATCCAGTAAGTAGCTGCTCCTTCCAAGGGACACAAGTCAGTGGTAAATAACCTAAATATCTCTCTACTAGGTCTACAAAGATGAAAGGGTTGTAGCAATTAAGGACAAGTATCCCAAAGCTCGTTACCACTGGCTCATCTTACCTTGGGACTCCATCTCCAGTTTAAAATCTGTGACAAAAGAGCATCTTGCACTACTGGAACACATGCATGCCATTGGTGAAAAGTTGGTCCACCAGTGTCCTGAGAGAGAGAGCTTACAGTTCAGGCTGGGTTACCATGCTATTCCCAGCATGAGGTAAGACTTGAGTGGGTCAGCAGGTGCCATTTTTCAGCCTCATGCTGAATTATACAGATTTCAGGTTAAGTCTCAGAGATGCTTGGGTTTTTAAGACTCCCATTTAGGCATCACTAACATTCTCAAAATCACTGCCCACTTGGTGCCTAAAGTCCCTGGCAGACATCATACTTAAAACACAGTCAGACTTTTAATCTCATTTTAAATAGTAACTTGGCCAAACATTCATGGAATTAATGGAACCACAAAATGGGAAACCAACGCACCTTAAATTGAACATATGGCAGGGTTAGGATTGCACTGGGACTTCCAGCTGACCCTGGTTCAGTCCCCCTGGTTGACAGTCAGCTTACTGTCAAACACCTGGCTTTCAACTTGCTAGTGCAGGGGAAGCCTGGGACCATGGTTCTGGGCTCCCCCTGCAGTGGTAAGCAGGGCGAAATTGCGATCTGACTCCCTGATTCCCAAACACGTGTTCTCCCGTGCAGTTATGGCGTGGCAGGAGGCATGACTGTTTGGTTTGGGGATCAGATCCCATTATGCCTTTAAATGAATATTTGTCAGTGGACTAAGTCTTGCATGTCAGAGGCTGAAAAATGTATCTCACTGAACTGTGCAGAACTCTTGGCAGAGGTGATATCTTTTATTAGACTGACTAAATATTTGCAAAAAACAATTTTTTTTTTTTTTTTTTTTTTGCAAATATTGAGTTGGTCTAATAAAATACATCACATCTGCCAAGAGTTCTGCATATTTTTTGCCTGTAGACCAACACAGCTAAAACCTGCATCTCATTGAGCTAGGAATTCTTTAGAGTTGCATTAGAAACAATTCTGGGTTGTACTGTTGTTGTCTTTAAGTCCACTTTTATCTTTTGGCCTTCTCTCAATTTTGCTTTCTTTGCTGACATCATGCTCCTTGGCATCTACTAGCATGGGTTATATTACACTCCTTACACCTAGTTTTCTACTTTTATTAAACATTATAAATAGATTACTTATGAATTTGTCCTTGAGACTTCATGGGACTTGATCTCATAGCCCTGTATGTATGCTGTAGTGTTCACATGGGAAGGATAAAATTATTCAGTTTTCTAAGGTAGCTATTATCTGTGTAGGTTTTGCTAGATGAGAACTGATTTTTTTTTTTTTAATTATCATTATTTTAATTAGTTGTGTGTGTGTGTTTCAGTCACATACATCTGCATGTAATCAGCCAGGATTTTGATTCTCCTTGCCTTAAAACCAAAAAGCACTGGAATTCTTTTACCACAGAATACTTCTTGAACTCCCAAGGTAAAGATGTTTTTAAAACTTGCTCCATAATGTGCAATCTACTTTATTATCTTAAAACATTTGGTTAGGAAGAACGTTGAAAGCTTGTGCTTAATTTTGGATATTGAGTCATTGTGGCAACCGTCAATCCTCCTGGATCATGGTGTATGTGTGAGGGGCACCATATACATTGAATTTTTTGAGGAATGGAGGCTTCCCAGACCTTCCATCCTCCCTTTAGCCACTGTGATAGAATCTAAAGATGTTTGGTGCCTCCATGACTGTAGCTGAATATGCATCTGGGAATCAAACCCAGGTCTCCTGTGTGGTAGACAAGGATTCTACCACTGAACCACAGGGGGACTTGAGTGATTATGGTACCATATTTACTCAATTTTTAAGAAGTTTTCTGTTCCATTCATTGGCCTTTTCTTAGCATCATGAATAACAACTGGGAGCTGTGAGAAACTGCGGTGCAGGGAGCACAGCTGGGATGGGTAGCATGCTGTTCTGTAATGATGAAATCCTACTTACATAAAGCATTGAGAACAGATTTTATAGATGCTGAGTGCACTTCACCGTGTATTCTATTCTTGTACTTAATGTTTTTTGGTTTCCTTCAGATGTGATAGAGATGATAAAGACCAAAGGAAAAGTGCTGGTGAGTGGTGGAACTTCTGAACTCCTCAAGTTGCCCCTCAAATGCCATGTATGTAGGCAACCTCAATCAACCATCCCACAGTTAAAGGAACATCTCAAGAAGCATTGGCCAAACTGACTTAGATCTGGAATTCTGCGTTCTTTTACAGTTCTTGGAAAAGTTCCAGTAAGCACACTCAACACCTCCTTATAATGAGGTTTTACAAGAATTAAAGTAAATTAATATCTATTCATTAGATAGGCTATTGGGCTAGGATTGTACCTGAATGGAAGTCTCAAACTGTTTTACTTGGGTAAATCAGGATTATTCTGATTCAAGAGGCAGTTTAGTGCTTACAATAGGTTTGTGTTAGACTCTAAGGGGGAAATATTCAGAATATGGTGTGGAAACATCTTCCTTTTGTTAAGTGATATTGACACCTGATTCTTTCTTTCTTTGTTGATGATTTGCTGACATTGATATCAACAAAAATACCCTTGCTTAGACTGTAATATCCATTCAAATGAAATGACTAATAAACTTCCTTTAAAACCTTCCACTGCAAATGGCTAACAAAGATTATTGCTGATGAACCCCTGCCTACACCTGGATAAACAGGCAAGACAGTCTAATCTTTGAAAGTGACCTGGTCTTTGTTGTGGTATGTACTGACCATCCACAACACCAAGCTTTTAAGGGCTGCTTGTCCTGCCTTTGGAACATACAATATAGTATTATTGTAATAAAGGGTGCATCTTGCTGCAAATTGATTTTGCAGTGGTTAGTCAAAATCCAGTGTCTTCAGTGGTGAATGTATCCTTGTAGGACTAGGATACCTTTTAAATGCACTTGCAAAATCATTAACCTGTTAGACTCAGCAGGATATATTCTAACAGGTAAAAACTGTTATTGAAGGATATAGAAAATTACCAGACCACTTGTTAATTATTGACAAAATATTTATTTAAGTAGTGACTATTAATTTAATACTTTAATGTGTAGGATGGCTGAAATAGTAGCTCCAGTAAAATTTGGCTGATGTTCTTTCAGTCGTTTGGAGTATCCTAATGCTAAAGCTTGTGAAATGGATGTAACATCATTCGAGTGAACATGTTGCTTGGACTCTACACACTAAATCAGGTGATCTAGTTACTGCAGCATAAACTCTTAGCATTTTGGTAAACAACTCAGGGCCCTTGATCCTCGTAGTCTTCCTTTCTAATTCAGAAATGCTGAAACAATTTGATTACTACAGCAAAACCTGAAGTTTTGTCATAAGAATACAAGGACAGGACAGATTAGCTGTCTGCATGCATTGCTGGAAGACCAGAAGATTTCAAACATCAGCTCTGCGTATTTTTCCTTACGTGTGATGGGACTCAATGGAGGTTTTGATATCAGCACAGCATGCTCCTTTGGAAATGTACTCATTTCTCTGTATAACATGTGTCCTCAGATATCTTGGACAAAATCCCAGTCTGCCACTATGCCATATTGTAATGAACTGATAATTTCTAGTGGTGTTTCAGTATTCAGGTATTGTCCCAAACCATTTCCTTTTTGCTTGACATCAGTTGTATTGGTGTCTTGGATTCTTTTCTTCCTGTGGGTGAAATCGCAGAGGAAGGGTTACACTCTTTAGCAAACCTGTATTCACTATAGTGCAAACCTAGGTCTACATCTAGTTGTTTTCTTAGGCTCACCATAGTTGTTATCCTCTGTCCCCAGCACATTAATCTTTCTTGTACCTACTTGCATTCTCTGTGCAATTTCTAATCTATAGATCCTTTAAAGTATATAGGTGAAGTTCAGCTGGTATTCTTGCAACTTTGCTATCACAACAACTGATTGTGATGTCATTAGTATTGTGTGCTTGTAGCATGAGTCACTTCCTGCATGTTGCTTACCAATAAGCTTTTTAGTTACAATTTCAAAATGACATGCAAAGGTTTTTTTAGTGTCAAATGGGCCTAGTGACCTTAGGCTTCTATTCCTTGTGTTTCCAGGAGCAGTCCTGCTTATTAGATTGTACCAGATACTCTAGAAAAAACATTCCTTCCCTCTTCCAGGAGTCAAATATCTCAGGTCTTTGGTGTTTAAATACATAAGGTGCAGGTGCCCTAGAAATGACCAGCTTGATTAAAGGGGCACCTCTGGTGTGGTAGTGTGGGCTCTGCAAAGACTAAAACAATCCTTAATGACTGGAGGCGCAACACACCAGAGAGTATGAACACGTCACATCCACAGGAGCAGCTGTGCCCTCATGCTTCAGATACCACCTGGTATCTGCCTCTGGTTCAGCAGCACCACAGAACATGGTGAAAAGAATCCAGAATCTTTCTCTTGAATAATAGGCCAAGGTTGGCAATCTTTTACTAACAGCAGGCTGCCACTCATGATCTGAAGAATCTCTTTGTGAGTCAGATTCACAGGCCACAGGCTGTTAACCTCTGGTTTAGTGGGGTTTGCTCAATAGGTTATCTTAATACTCTCTTGCTTCTATAAGTGATTTTTTTCCTGTTTTTTCTCATTTGCTTGTTTTTATAAGTTATTTTTCTCTCTCCTGGAAGGTGCCCTCAGCCTTTGTTGGGAAGGATGACAAATCTAATAAATAAAACAACCAACCAATCAACCATGGATATTTTCCTAGCATGGAAATAGCATCAAGCTTTACAGAAATATTGAGGACTTTTTAATAATGAACAAAAAGAATATTCAGTAGAGCAATATTTCCCAAAATAAAAAGATTGATTGAAAGATTGTAGACCTTTTCTCTAAGAGTTTAGGAAAGGACCCAAGGTTGCACTGAAAAATAAAAACTACAAAGTTCTTGATTAGTGCTAGTTTGCACAGGAGGCATGCATGCCCATGTAGAATTCAAGCCAGATGTCTGCTCATTTGGTAATGCTCAGAACAAATTTAGCATGCAGAGGGAAAACACATCGGCAGTCAGTGCCTACACATATCTTGCTTGCAGGGCACTTCTCTAAAGTCCATGTCTCTCTAAAGGTCTGCTTAAGCCCTGGGACAGGTAGACCTTTGATGTCATAATTAGTGATGTCAGTGGCTTGAGTGTTCTGAAAGTGCCACCTGTGTTCCTGCTGCTTGCTATGTTTTCTGCCAGCGCAGTCAAAGAGAATCAGCATCCATGACACTGGAAAGGAAGTGTCACTCAAAGACCATTCAAGCTCCAGCTCTCTGCCTGTAGCAGCTGTAAAGGAAGGCCCTACAAGGATGGGAGCAAGAACCCATACAAACCCTAAAGATGAAAAAATGTCTTCATTGTCCAACAAAGACCCCAGGATAGTGAAAGAGACTAGAGCAGTGATCATAGACATTGGCACAGGTTACTGTAAGTGCGGGTTTGCTGGGGACCCTAAGCCTTCCCATGTGATTTCATCAACTGTGGGTAAGCATCTCCAGGAGACTGCCAAGACTGGGGACAATCGGAAAGATACCTTTGTTGGCAGAGAACTTTACAGTGCTAATATACCCCTAAAACTCGTCAACCCTTTGAGACATGGCATTATTGTGGACTGGGACTGTGTCCAAGACATTTGGAAATACATTTTCCACAACAAGATGAAGATTCTCCCAGAGGAGCATGCCATCCTGGTATCCGACCCTCCACTGAGCCCTACCACCAATAGGGAGAAATATGCTGAGATGCTGTTTGAGACGTTTGGTGCTCCTGCCATGCATATTGCTTACCAGTCTAGATTATCCATGTACTCTTATGGGAAGACTTCTGCTCTAGTAGTGGAAAGTGGCCATGGTGTTTCATATGTGGTTCCTATTTATGAAGGTTATACTATGCCAAGCATCACAGGCAGAGTAGACTATGCCGGTTCAGATCTCACCTCTTACCTCATGAAGCTATTAAATGAGTCTGGGTATCAGTTTAAAGAGGAAGACCTAAGAAAAGTAGAAGATATCAAAGAGAAATGTTGTTATACGTCATTGGATGTTCCTCGGGAAATGTCTCTTCAGAGACTGCCAGTTGAGTATGAGCTGCCAGATGGGCATTTAATTACAGTTGGCAAAGAGCGATTCTTATGTGCTGAAATGCTTTTCACACCATCCTTGATAGGGTTCCAGCAGCCAGGGCTTGCACTGATGACAATGATCTGCCTCAATAAATGTGATGTTGATCTCAGGAAGAAACTGATGGACAGTATCTTGCTGTGCGGAGGTTGTACCATGCTGAAAGGCTTTGCTGACCGTTTCCAGCAAGAACTGATCAAGATGTGCCCTAACAACAACCCTGTTGTAGCAGCATCGCCTGAAAGAAAGTCCTCCGTGTGGACTGGAGGGTCAATTTTGGCATCACTCAAGTCTTTTCAACAGCTCTGGGTTCATCGGAGAGAGTATGAGGAGCATGGTCCTTTCTTTATCTACAGGAAATGCTTCTAAGCACACAATGGATAAGACTGAGTTTGGAATCAAGCCTACCATCTAATCAGGGCCATATTGTGTTAAGTACCTTTATTTCCCTCTCTAGGTACACTCTTAGCGAGGAGGTGGCTTGTGCCATTAAATGCTTGTAGCTTTCTGTGTTGCATGTAGTTTTTATCACTTGCATTTTAACAGGAATTTTGACACTCAGTAAATCTAGTCCAATGGTTAACAGGAAGCAGGTCCTGCAATAGTATATAAGGAGCTCCCACTCCCTTGTCCAGGAGGGACTGTGATAATAACAGCACTGGCATCATCCTAATGAAGCCTCAAAAACCAAGTACTAAGTATTAGAAATATAGAGGCTTCTACCCTTCCAGCTGTCTGGTGCTGTTAAGGTTTTTTTGACTAAAGGGTTGGAAGAAACAAAAGGGAACATTCCCTTTACACTGCTGTGCTGTGGGAGGTGCCTGTCCACACTGTGTCAAAACACCAGAGGATGAAGTGATCACAAGTGTTTTGAATAACTTTACTCAAGCTTCTCATGCTGGGCCCAAGTTGGACCCTTCCAGGTCCAGCAGTACACCTGTGAGCAGTGAATCATCCAGATCCAGTCCCACAGTATGTCTTGCCCCCTACAACAGCACCTCTGGGTACTTTGCCTGCCTGGCATTGCTGGACAGCCCCAGCCCCGTTTGGCTGCAGGCCCCTGTCCAACTGTGTCTATACTCTGCCTTAAAACAAAGGCAAGGATTACATCCCTTCTCCTCCTTCCCTTTAATAAAAAAAGGCCTTTTTGTTGAGCTCCTGGCTCTCCTCCTGACAGGAGGAGGAAGGGGTGAGTTCTCCATTCCTGGCACAGTCTGATCAGGACATGCATACATGTAGGAGCAGTTGAAAGGAAGAAGACATGATGAAGCAGGCCACACTAGTCCCAGAGCGTATGATGAAATGTTCTTGAACCAAACTGCTCAATAACTGCTCAGCTTGTACCACTTAGCCTTGAGACAGCACAGTCCAAGTGCTGATGCTGGTGCACTGAATTTGTCATAGCAGTGCAGAGGGCATTTAAGTCAATCTATACCAGGGCTCCTGCATGTTACACTTCTATGAGCTGCAAAGGACTAACAGACAGTGTCAAGCTGGTGCTTAACACATGATAAATATGAGGACTGGAGTAGTGATGAGGGTGTAGGCTGCCCTTCTGTATGCCAGCTGCCATGATGACCAGGCAGTTTCTAAAAAAAAAAAAAAAAAATCAGGATGGAAACAGAGATAATCTGACAAGTTTGTCTAATAATGGTCTGACATACCTGGCTTCTGTACAGTAATACCACAGAGTAGTCTTAAATTAGCACAACACAGTAAATGGCATTTACAGCAAAAATGGAAAGCTGGCTGACTTACCAACTTCAAAACAGAACTCCCTTTAGTGCATATCAGTGAATGGAGTGCAGCTTTGGTCCTTACAATGCCATAGCAAGGGCAGGGGTGAGCAAAATGATTCCCCCGGGTACCAAAGCAAAGGGGCGCCAACAGGTGCTGCCCAGCTGGGGTGGGGTGCAGGACAGAGCTGTGAGCAGTTCTTCTGGGGGGCCATGGGGTTGGGGGAAGGGCAGCTCTCACCACTGCATGCACTCCTGGGTAAGCATGGGGACAAGGGCATGTGCCCCCCAGATCTGTGCACGGGGCAAGAGTGGGCTGCTGCTGCGGGCTTTGCCCTGGGCACAAAACTTCAGTGCTATGGCACTGCTTATGCACACTATTCAATGAGCACATCAGAATTCTGAAAGGCACTAGCACAACAGTATCCTGGCCTAACTCAGGCCTCCTCTACATAAATTATGCAATTAACTGGGTAGCTGCACAATTAATTTAGAACAGCTACATGTGCAAAATAACTGTCATGCCATCTAACTATAAAGGTACATCCAATTATAAAGTTAGACCTAGAAAACATGTAATAACTTTAGAGCTGGTTTCAATTCAACTTTAATTTGCCCTTGCATTTGGAAGCTACAACCCCCCCACACACACACACTTTTTACCTGCCAGCCTGTTGCTCAGCCCCAGAGACAGTACACAAGTCTGAAGGGTTGCTAGCTTCTTATGTGGTAGGTCCTGAATGGTCTCTGTTGCCACAAAATGAAAAAAAGGAAAAGAAAAAGGATTTTGGCCAGACTGAGTCATCCATACTCGGAGACACTTGCAAAGTTCCAATTGAAGCATGGGACAACTTTGGGGCTTGCCATAACATGCCAAATCCTGAAAGGGGGTTGGGCATGCCATATCAAGCCCTACCTCTTTGAGCCCTGGCACTGGTCAGGTGGGCTCTGCAGCCCATCTGAGCTTGGCATGTTTCAGAAAAAAGGACATTTCTTGAGCCCACCAGGACTGTGCTTTCAAACTGATACCAAGAGGCCCACATCAAGCTTTGAACTCGTAACCTACTCATTATTAACTCAGCAGCCAACCTGCTGAATACCAGTAGTAGCCTACTCATAACCTGAATAGCCAAACTATCGGTACATACACCAAAACCCTCAAAAATCCAAAAAACAAGTACAGTGGCAGACGGCCCTGTGCATAGCAAGAAAAGGTCACAGGAAGCCAAAAACTCCCCCCACTCCTTTACCTGCCAGCCTCATGCTTGGTCTCAGAGACATGATACAAGCCTCCAGTGGTTCATATTTGAGCCCCGGAGCTCTGGCACTGGTCAGGTGGGCCCTAGACCCAATCTGAGCTTGTCATCTTTCAGGGAAAAAAATGTGTTGTGCTTTCAGACTGAAAATCAGAGGCCAGCTTGGAATTCACAACCTGCCTGTTACTAACTCAGCAAGCAAACCACAGAGCCACAGAAGAAAACCCAGGGGGAGTGTCATATGGCTTGAGTGACCAAACTGTCACCACAAAAAAAGTCAAATGTACTGTGGGAGGCCTTTGTGCCTAGCAAGAAGAGGGCATAGGCAGCCACAAACTCCTCCCTTTTACTTGCCAGCTTCCTGCTCAGTCCCAGAGTTATGACTAGTCTCAGTGGTACTGGCTTAAGTGGCAAGGCCTGACCAGGCTCAGCTGCTGCAAAAAATTTTTAAAAAAAAATGTTTTGGTAGGACCGAGTCCCCCTTCCTCACAAACACTCCAAGGGCTCTGACTGAAACACAGATCAGAATCTGGGGCTTCACGTGACATGCCGAAACCCCAAAGGAATTTCCCCATGCCATGCCAAGCCATGCATCTTAAAGCCCTGGAGCACTGACACTGGTTAAGTAGGCTCTGGAGCCCATCTGAGCTTCTCATCTTTCAGGAAAAAATAAATTTCCTCAAGCATGCCACAGCTGTGCTTTCCAACTGAAACTCAGAAGCCCATACTAGCTCTGAACTCACAAACTGCCCGTTATTAACTAAGCAAACAAGCTGCTGAGCCCTAGAATATACTGGCAGCAGCTGACTCACAGCTTGTGACCAAATTATCAAGCCATTCACCACAAAGCAAAACAAAAATCAAGTACATTGGGGGCACAAGACATTTGGTGCGCAGTTGACTAATTAACTGCACAGTAAAGTCTGAGTGTCTACATGTGCACCCAAAACTAATAAACTCCACAGCAGGGTATTATTTGTAAAATACAAGTACTAGCTTGCTGTGGAGTTTCTTCATGCGCAGCAGCACATGTGTAAATGTTATCCCAGCTGGCTGAGGCAAAGAGCACTTTAGCATGGGGCTAGCCAGCAAGTAGCTCCTGTGCTGAAGCTCCCTCATGCCTCAGACAGCCTCTCCACAGCATGTGGAGTCTAGTTGGAGCAGCCTGGACTGGCAGGGGACCTGGGGGATCAGCCTGCCAGCCCGGGGCTGATCCAACCTGGCTGCACATGCTGTGGAGTGACTGGCTGAGGCATGAGGGTGCTTCAGCATGGGGGCTGCCTGCCAACTAGCCCCATGCTGAAGCACCCTCGTGCCTCAGTCAGGCTCTCCACAGCATGTGGAGCCCAGTCAAAGCAGCCTGAGTCCTCGGAGCCCCTGCCAGCCTGGGCTGCTCTGATGGCTCCACGTGCTGTGCACAAATAAACTCCAGTGCAATATGCTCAGGAGTTTTTTGCTTCCAGGCGCACATTCAAATGGTGTGCCTGGGAGCAAAAAAACTCTGGAACAATAAGCTCCAGAGTTTATTTGTACAAATTAATCACACGTGTAGATGTACCCTGTGAGAGAGGGACCTGTGTCTGGCAAAAAGAAGCCACAGACTGCCCCCTCTTACCTGCCAGCCTGATGCTCAGTCCCAGAGATATGACACAAGCCTCCAGGGATGCTGGCTTCTTAGGAGGTTCATATTTGAGCCCCAGAGCTTTAGCACTGGTCAGGTGGGCTCTGGAGCCCATCCGAGCTTGGTATGTTTCAGGGAAAAATAAATGTCTCAAGCCGACCACAACTATGCTTTCAGACTGAAACTCAGAAGCCCACACCTAGCTTGCAAGTCATAACTTCCCCATCAAGAAGAGGCCACAAGCAGCCAGAAATTCCCCTCTTTTATCTGTGAGCCTGATGCTCAGTTCCAGAGATACGATGCTAGCCTAAGGGGTGCTGGCTTTTCGCAGTCACCTGACCCCTGAAAACACATTTTGCCTCGAAGCCTATCCTACCATTGAACGCTAACTGCTAACAGAGATGCAACTTGGTGGGAGTTTTTATGGTAGTTTGTATGATGCTGACATGTGCCCACTAAGAACTGAGCTGAAACCAAACTCAACTTGTGCATTCCAACAAAAGCCTGGATGTAGTTTCTCATCAGAAGCCTTGGCTGGATTCGAATCAGGAGCCATGCTGGAGGAATCTTTATCCAATCAGCTGACTCACCATGAGTGTGTCTCGCAGGGTGAGCCCACTAGCCACATGTCAGTCTGGCCAACCCCCCCATCCATTGGTTGGTCAGGCCAACCCTGCCAGCTGCCAGTCACTCCAGCCAGGTCCACCATATGCTGGTCGCTCCAGCTGACCCCACCAGCTGCCAGTTGCCCTGGATACCCTGACAACTTGTAGGTCACCCAGGCCAACCTGACAACTCATGGGTCACCTGGGCCAATCCGTCCAGTTGCAGGTCGCCTTGGCCAACCTGTCCACACATGGGTTTCCAGGCCAACCCCACCAGCCACGGGTCAGCTTGGCTGACCTGATCACCTGTGAACCAGCCAGGCCAGCCAAAATACCTGTGGGTCACCCAGGCCAACTCAAAGATCCATGAGGCAGTCAGGGCAAACCAACCACTTGTGGGTCATCTGGGTAGACCTGACCAACCCACAGGTCACCCTGGCCAATGTGATTGCACATGGGTCATACAGACTGACGCAACCATCCAAAGGTCAGCTGCGCTGACCTACCACCATCTATGTGCAGTTTTGTGGCTGCAGACTGCTGGATTCAGTACTC